GGTCATGCTACAAATCAAAGCGCTACATTTGCACTTGCTACGATTTCTTCATGCGAAGCTCTGACATTGCTTGCTCTAGATTTGCCCGCAGTGCATTGTTCCTCTAAGACCTGCGACTGATCATCCTTTTGCTGGGCTGAGAAGCGGAACTGTGATCCACATGTCCCAGAGCATCAACCCGCAGCTGACCCAGAGAACGGACGAGCACAAGCCCACAACGAGCAACTCCACGTTGATGGAAGCAGAGCACTGAGTTTTGATGACCTCTCACAAGAGACAGGAAGTTATTCTTTTCTGAAGCTTGACCAGTCGCCTTGGGCAAGGTGGAGCACAAGGATGTAGCACTCACAATGCTGGACAGTGAGGACATCAGGCCGCTGAAAAAGAGTGCGTTGCCGCGGCTTAATGAGCAAAGCGCCACACCTCGGTTTACATTTCTGGATGCCACGAAGCACATCCCGCTTGGCCAGCGGATGCGTTACACCAAGTCACACTGTAGGCATACTATCACACCAATGGCATGAAAGTATAGATGCAGCTGCTGCAAGGCCTTCAGTCAAAGCACTTCAATTGCCTACAGTGTTCGTGGAGGGGCTTGAACTCAAGGCACATGAGCAGTTTTGCCGCGGCCACGCAAACAAGGCCTTGCTGTCTCGGCAGTTCCGCTGGAAGCCCCAGACATAGTATATGCCAAGCACTGCACCGGCCACGTTAGAATATAACAGCCTGAGGAAAATGGTCAGCTTCTCACGCACAAATCTGTCACAAGACCTGCTCTTGCAGCTAGGCAGCACCAAGAATCCACTCTTTTGGGTTACAAGGTATGCGAAAGTGCCGTAAAAACACCTTAAGTCCGCGCATTGATGCAGCTGGGCAAGCCAACATGTCGAATCAGACTTGGTATCGCAAACTCAGGCAAGCAGCCATTGCCATCCAGCATAAAGGATGGACATGAATGGAGCAGAGTCTGCTTCACCAGTGTCTCCCACTTTCTGAAACTGCTGCACCTTCTCAGTAATGTCAATGGGAGAAAAGCAACTGGTCCTGATGCATGTGCCATACCGTCTATGCTTCGAGGAAAAGTCTAATTGGCCTGCGGCAGTGGCGAAACGTAGCACATAACGTTGCCTCAGGAGCATGATGATTTCTAGCTTTCTGGAAAAGCAGGTCTGATGCATCTCTTGGGCAGCTCATGCTGCTCATGTGAGATAATGTTAGATATAGGTTTCTGAAGCCCAAGACACAGCTTGAGACAGAGGCATGCTGAACTGGCACCAACAAGGGAGCGCAACAAGCCATTGTGAATCCCCACTGCCTGAACAACGGAACAGTGGATAAAAGCGCCTTATTCACCAGAAAGCCAAGCTGCTAAGCATGCACAGAACTTTGACGATCAGTGCCAAGCTCAACGTCGCCGCAAAGCGTGCTTGCGGAGACAGCTCTGGTTTCAAAGCCTTGCTTGCCACTGACATCGCAAGTACTGACTAGGTAGTGTACATGTCAAGCTGCAGTCAACTCGCAAGCATGCAATGCAACACTGTCCTGCTTCCACAAGCTGACTGTGCGAGTCAGCTGGTACATCAAAACCAACGATGCAGGGCACCCAAGTAGCTTGCAGCACTCGGAAAATCAAAGGTCCAGCCAGCAGCCGGGCACCCAAGTGGCTTGCAGCACGCGGACAAAGGCCCAGCGGGGCACCCAAGTAGCTGGCAGCAGCTCATTAGTGAAAGGCCCAGCAGGGCGCCGAAATAGCTAGCAGCAGGCGGAAAGTGAAAGGCCCAGCGGGGCAACCAAGTAGCGGGCAGCAGCTCATAAGCGAGAGGCCCAGCAAGGCACCCAAGTAGCTAGCGGCAGCTCATAATTACGTGAAGAGGCCCAGCAGGGCACCCAAGTAGCTTGCAGCACGCGGAAGTGGCCCCAGCAAAGCAGCCATGGATTGCCATGGAGCTAGCAGCACGCGGCAGGCGAGGAGCCCAGCGCAGCTCTCAAGCAGGCAGCAGCTCACGAACAGTAGGCGAGAAGGGAAATGCACAGCAGGCATCCAAGGCGCCGCAACCGATAAAAACACACAAAAGGGTTGATCAGCTTCTGGCGCCCCAGCAATCACAGGCGGCCAATTCGTGTGACAGCACTCCTGAGCTTACCACAGTAATGCCCCCCCGGGGCGAGCGAGGTGAGTGGGCTGCGGGGCGAGTGGAGCAAGTGGCAGAGTGTGGCGTGGAAGGCAGTTTGGGCCCTAGGTGCCAGATCTGAGGCAAGTGGGGCATAGGGGGCAAGTGGGACGAGTGGGGCAAGTCAAGCGGGTGGCAAGCAGGAGGGTGCAGTTGATTTCTCTCCCCTGTGGTCAACAGTTTTTGTTCATCTAAATGCGCCGTTTATCGCCCAGGGCCAAGACAACTCCGAAATAGGACGACCACCTTGATCCGGTGGCCCAAGACTGTGCAAGTAGGCTGCAAGACTTGGCTATGAAAGCCAATCCACAGTACAAAATCACTGAAACCCTTTGCAGACATCACGAACCACTGAGCTTTGCCATGATGCAAAAAAGAGCAAACTTCCATAAGCATGTTCTGTTCCTGTGGCTTTCCGTGCTGGCCTATCACTCTGCCATTTTGCCTACGCCTCAACCAGATGCGGCCCTCACAATAATGCAGCAGAACGGTTGTAGTGCGTGTTTGTGACAACTGAGGAAATATCACAAACATTCACAAACTTGTTCATGATGCTGGCTGGGCGGCCAGCATCATCAACGCACTTGGATACAATTGGGTTGTCGGAAGATCTTTTACGTTCCCATGGACTTGTCGCACGAGGTATCATATGTCGTAGGTTTTATACTAGCTTCACAAAGCGGTCATGCGGAAATTGCAGTAACAAAAAGGTTTGCTGTTCGTCTCTTGTTTTGGTAGTGGGGCTCCACTCCTGACTTCGCATCTTGGATCGCATTGGACGAAGTGGGCGCGGGCGCATGTTTCCTACGCGTTTGCTACCGCCGCATGTGCATCAGAAATTGTTGTCAGTCTCTGGCTCCATGCCTTTGCCTTTAGTTGCGTCATCCACCCTGCGGCATGTACAGCTTGGACAAGGTTGACCAACTTCCAGTCAACATCAACACGGAATCAACAGTTTCCGGACACGATTGACAGTGCGGCAGATGCAGTGTACAAAGAAGCCATCTTTCAGTGCAACACAGCGGCACTCGGCTTTGTGATGGCAGAATGGGACAAGCTTGCAGCATTGCGACTGGCACCTATCAGCTAAGGCCAGGACCGCAGGAGGCACTTGCCTGACACATAAAAAAGTGTGTGCGTGTGTGGGGGTGCGCAGCGAATATGCATGAAACGAACTTGTTTTCACAACTGTGCCCTCAATGTTCCGTGGTGCCGCACATTCCATGGAGGTTGCCTTTTGTCTCATTTAATATGAAGGGACTCTGGTGAACGAGGTTGCTTCTAAGAGATATGGTTGCGCGCAGATTTGAAGCTTACTCGCGGGACACTTCAAACAATTGAAGATTAGAGCTCCCGACTGCAAATCGTCTCTCCAGACCGCAAAGCGTCGTCTGGTTTGTGCAATAGGTTCCTCTGATCCACCTGTTGATGGTAAGGTTTAAAGCGGCGTCTGCGCAGATAGTGCTAGCAATACAACTATTGCAGGAACAAGCCTCGTCCATCGTCCTAACAGCAATAATGGTAATTAGTACTGGAAATTAGGTGTTGTAGGACTACTACTACTACTACTACAACTACTACTACTTTTCCATTCGAGCACAGCCGGTGGAATCAGCTAGTGAACAGCTAACTGGCACCGGCTTAGCTCTGGCATGCTCTGGCGCATCTAGTGCGCGAGAACCNNGGGAGTCAATGCTACGAATAGCCCACGCTACCCGTCGATTGCAGTGATCAACTATGTATCACTGTACAACGCACTGTACAAGTGGCCTGAGGAGGCGCATTTTGTGTATTTGTACGAATGCTG